TCGCGACCCACGTTCGCCAATCATGTCCGCCCACTGTCCTTTCTATAACTATCGGCTTCCAATCTGATGGGCAAGGAGCAATAACCCCCTCCCCCCTACACGCCTCTTCTCGAAGCTAAATATCGCTTCCTTATGACGCAATCTTCCCTCCACTATGACGTAATCTCCTTTAATCTCCCTCTCCCGTCTTCACCCACTTGCTAGGCGGGGCACGTGGCGGAACACCGAATTTAGTACATTCCGTTGGGTTTCTCTCTCTTTGGGAGTCTGTGGCTTCGTCTATACCGCCATTTTCCTTCCTTCCTTCCTTCCTTCCTTCCTTCCTTCCTTCCTTCCTCACCTCCTCCTTCACCCTATGTCTATCTATCTCTCCCACACACTCTCTCTATCTCTCTCCTTCCCTCCTTCATACCCCCTCTCTCATTCCCTCTCCATCTCCCTCCCTTTCCCTTTCCCCTCTCTCTCCCTCTTTACCTGCAGGCCATCAAGTCTTTAATATCCCGACTTCTAGATACACCAATTAACAAATGAAATAAACCACCAGCTGGAACTAATCAATATGCAAGCCCGGTGCGTCCTTCGAACAGAGAAAGGCGCCGAGTCCAAAAACAACGGTATAGAGCAACGTGGGATTCTATTACAAAAGAAATAAAAATGCGTCGTCATAATTTATTTCATAAAACAACTAAGGCAAATATAGTCAAAACATCGCCAAATACCATTACGAAAAAAAGTAAAAGCAACGTTTAAAATCCATAAAACAACAGCAAAAAGCATCAAGAATTTGAGAGCTAACAATTAATCAGAAAAAAAAAGATGTACAATCATAAGTAAAACAAAGGACGCCCTTTTCATATAAAAATAATTGCAAACCGGAAAAAAAAGACTTCCAATCTGCTGCCAATAACAGTTAGTAGGCCAATCAAGAAATGATACCGAGAGGGAAAAGTGAAATGGCCGGGAAACGCATATTCAATTACACAGCTAAATCAACAGAAAGAGAAAGGAAAGAGGAAGAAGGGAGAATAAGGAAGGAGGAGAGAAGTGGAAGGTAGGAGAATGATGTGGGAGAAGAATGATGGAGGGAAGGAAGGAAGGAAGGAAGGAAGGGAGGAAGGAGGAGGTAGGAGGATGGAGGATAGCTGATGGCTGGAGAATGTGAGATAACGAGGAAGAAATGAGGGAGCAGGGGGGAGGAGGAAGGAGCATGAAGGGCGAGGAAAGTGGAAGGTAGAGGAATGCAGTAGGAAGAGGAAGGTAAGAGGAGAAAGAATGAGGCAGAAGGAAGGTAGAAAGAGCATGGAGGAGGACGAAAGCGATACGATAGGGCGACTGACTCCATCATTCACTTCCTGTTGGCTATCCTCGGCGATACAGCTTCGGCCAGTGATGAGAGTTGGTCCGTGATGTATAAGGCTTTCACCAAGAAACATCTGCCGGGACTTCCGCACACGTAAACAGCCCTGGCCAATTCAAAAGTCATGCCCCAAATTATTGTGCCCGATAACATACTTAACATAATAGCTTGCTGAACTGCAGAATGGGTGGCTCAATAATACTGCAGACAGACAGACGGACGTGGGCGATAGATACTCAGACAAGTAAACAGATATGAATGATTGATTGATAAGAAATACTGACGAACAGTTATGACGGCCTAATAGAGAAGAACACAAACATACAGATAGCCAAAGTTGATGAACAGACTTGTATATAGACGGACTGGCCTAATAACAGGCTACGCCAGAGGGACCAAACAACCAAACAGCTGACTGAAAGAAAACAGCTGACTGGAAGAAAACAGCTGACTGAAAGGACCTTTACACTGACCAGCATGTTTGTTTATCTACCACCTCACGTATATTACGAAATGCAAAACCAATAACTTCACCTTCCTTCGCTTAGAAGAAAAAAAATCCAGGTGCAGTTGTTCCAAGTTGCTTAAGAAGGTAACCCGCCATTTGGTAAGTAACTCACAACGATTCTTATGCTAACGCGGATGAAAACTTCGTCCGACTCGAGTTTCATGCTAATTTCTTCTGCCGACCGCGTCACATCTTTGCACTGTGCTATTCATTCAACAGCCGCGTTTCTTAAAGAGCCCATCTCATGTTTGTTTCTTTTCTGTGAAGATATTTCGTTCTATATTCTCTCTCTCTCTCTCTCTCTCTCTCTCTCTCTCTCTCTCTCTCTCTCTCTCTCTCTCTCTCTCTCTCTCTCTCTCTCTCTCTCTCTCCACATCTTTCCTTATTTTCTCTCTTTCAATTTCTCTGCTTTACTCCTTTCCCTCTCGCTTTTTTCACCTTTCTCTCTTTCGTTTCCCCTTTTTAATCTCTCTTTCGTTTCCCCTTTTTTATCTCTCTTTCGCTCCCCTTTCTCTTTCTCGCCTCACCCTCCTTTCTCTCTCTCGTCTTCCATCTTCTTTCTCTTTCTCGTCTTTCCTCTCCTCTCAGCTTTAAAATAACTACCTAGTGATGCATTGCAGCCGTTTGTTTGTTTACTTTCATCCTTCAAGCCAGGACAAGTTATTAGACTAAGATCGTTACTTTTGTCTTCCTGTGTGCACCGATATCAATAGATACCCACCTACACACATAAACGCAAACACAAACACACGCACACAGACACAGACAGACAGACAGACAGACAGACAGACAGACAGACAGACAGACACACACACACACACACACACGCTCCCCCAACAGTGTGTCATAACTCGCCGCCCCGCACTTCCTCAGGAGAGGCAAGTGGCGTAATGTCTTGCGAAGGTTTGGTGGCTAAAACTGACATAAAGTGTCACGTAAAATAAAGTGTCGGATCGAGTATCGAGTGCGGCGTTAAAGCCAAGTGTCGATCGGGTAGAGGAAGGCTATAGACACCCGAGTTATTTCCTAGATTAACAAGAGGCTGGCATGCTCACCCTTGCCCACTGCCGAGCACCCGAACTCTCGCCCTGCCTCTCAAGCACTCTCCTCACCTTTAAGTACTCCGAGAGAACGACACCGGCTCTTTTATACAACCCACACACTCTCCATCTTTCTTCCTCTTTCACTCCATTTTATTCCCTCCCTCTTGCTTTCTTCCCTGTTTTCTTCCTCTCGCTTTATGTATCTCTTTCTGTCTGTCTGTTCGGTTAGTCACTCTTTGTTTGTTTGTCCGTCTGTGCCTGTCTGTCTGTCTGTCTGTCTGTCTGTCTGTCTATCTGTCTCCAGATTAACCCCATTAGCATACCGTAAACCATAAAACCAAAGGAAAACCATATTCCCATATAATAAATATCGATACGAAACAATCCTATCTGCACGCCAACTTAAAATTCTTTCCTTGTATAAAAACTTTTACAGCCACAATAACATTCACACACCAAGAACCAGGAAAAAAAGTTCCTGGTGATAGTGATTGTAGTTCTTATCGCTGTGGATGGTGGTGGTGGTGTATCTTTTTCTGGTGTTCGTGGTGACTTATTTTGGTGGTGGTAGTGAATACAAAGTGTGAAGGAATGGTTGTCGTGTTGAAAAAAGAGGACGAGGTTTCATTTGCATTTTACGGTCAAGGATTCGTACGTGTTGCCATTTAAGATCTATAAGTCTTCTTTCAAGAAAAATGGGGTACAATCTTACATGAACTGCAGAAGAATCGCCCAAAACGGCAATAACACCGTTCTGGAGGGAATATGGGCACCGTTTCTTTACGGGAAAATACACGCCTACTGTGCGTACTCGCAACGCAACACATAAATTTCCGATCTCTCTCTCTCTCTCTCTCTCTCTCTCTCTCTCTCTCTCTCTCTCTCTCTCTCTCTCTCTCTCTCTCTCACACACACACACACACACACACACACACACACACACACACACACACACACACATATATCGTCCCTCGGAGCGCGTGCGCTAAAGGGTCACGAGAACAGTCCAAACGTGATTGAATTGCAATTTTATCGTCTCTATCTTCCACTTAGGGTTGGGATTGCAGGAACGTGTGGTAATAGTCTCTATTGCTTCCCGCGTAGACCCCGCCGCCTCATAACGCTGATGGGAGTGGCGGCGGCGGCGGCGGCAGAGGTAAACTGCGGTTGTTGAGGTTGTGATCACGGTTATGGCTGGCGCTGATGCCCGCGCTGATGGCCCGGGCGCTGCTGA